TATATATATATATATATATATATATATATATATATATATATATAAAGGCTAATCGAGAAAGCGAGTTATAACAAAATACAAAATCAACAAGATCACAAAAAAAAAAAAAAAAAAAAAAATCAGACCTCGATCCGGCCATTAGCAGCCGCCAAGTGAAGGGCGGAGAGCCCGCCGTGAGGAGTTTTAAGCGAAAGCAAATTTGGGTATTTGTCCGCCATTGCTACAACGGCGTCGAGCTCTCCGTTTTGAACAGCGTTCGTGAAGAGTTCGCTCACTTCGTACTCGCTGCAGCTCAGCCCCTGCCCCATTATATGAACTGATTCGATTCCACGCGCCACCCACCACGGCGGAGGAGGTGTAGCGTCGTGGTGGTGGTGGTTGGAGGAAATGATGGAATCGTGGTGGGGAACAGAAGTAATCAAAAGTAGAAGTGATGTTTGGAATTCGGACTGACCGGAAGGGATTTCGGGCAGTTCACTTTGCCTGGTTGGTGAATGTTCGGGCAGCTTTTCGGGCAATTTGGAGATCAATGTTAAGAAAGTAGGAACTTTTGTGATTAGGCTAATCTCGAGTTAAATGCTAGATTCTATACCCTTAATTTATGGAAATTCTATAATATTTCGGGTTTATTCATGTCTGCTTTCCAATTTGATTCTACGCTAAGGCCTTGTTTGGTAAGATTACTTAAAATAAAATAAATAATCTATTTTTTTATTATTTTATCAAACTCCAGAACATCCAACAAAAACAAAAAAAGTCTTTAAAAGGTAATATGAGGCATGATTCATGATAACATAATATTTGTGTGTCGACCCTCGATAATTTATTAAAAATATCAAACGTCAAATAAAGTCTTATTATTTAGTTAATAATGACTAATCTCTTCAACCAAATAATATTATTTTGTTATTCCAAAAAAAAAAAAGAAAATTCCGGCTGCTGTAACAAACGTCAAAAAATAGGGCCTAATTAATTAAGTAATGGAATAGCAGAAGTTGTTTGACAAATTGGTTTTAGATCCAGACTGCAGACTTGACTTTGATGCTTTGCCCATTGACTCCTCCACACAAATATCTTTCTTTTAAATCAAACATAATTAAACTAATAAAACCATGTGTATGTATATATATATATATATAATAGTTTTCCAATTTCAAAACTACAAGTCTACAAGTTCGATGAATTGGAGTTGGAGCTCGAACTCGACAAAATTTTTGAGGACCAATTCGAACTCGGTTCGTTTTCATGATGTTTGGTTCATAAGCCCTTTGGATATTTTATTATATAAAACTAGACCAAATATAAAAGAAAATTAATAATAAATGAATAAACTTCTAGAAGCCATATTAGATCCGAATACATAGTTGGGTTGTTCCATGGGCCGAGATCACCACAAATGGGTGTTTCCAATTGGACTCTCGCCCAAACTTTATATAATTATTTTGTTGGGCTGAAATTAATTTTTGCAAGTAGTTTGTTCGAAAATATTTATTCAAGTCAAACGTCATCGAAAGTATGGGTCTATTCTATTATATGCGACATTGGATAGATCTTTGACATTCATATACGCACAAATACGCACCTACATTGATATGTATAGATCAACGTAAACAATCACCAAGTATAGTGTTCACTGAATGTATCATAGAAATAACCGAAGATACGTAGAAGACACTTAACGAAGAAGTAAACAAAAAAAGAAAAAAAATATTTGCTTTAACTATATTAAGCGTGGTTGAATACACAACGACTTTGTGTCAAAAAAGTTTGTGGCGTCTTTTGTTCTCCTTTGCTATTAAGAAAAGCAGCAGTTTTATTATAGAGTAAACTGCAAATACTACCCCTGTGTTATCTCGAAATAGCGAAAACCCCCCTGTGATAAATAAACTAGCAAAAACCCCCCTGTGAAATTTAGTCAAAGGCAGAATCCCCCCTAGCTGATTTTTTAGACTTGAAATGACAAAATTGTCCCTCAAAATGTATTTATATATATACATATTATATGTATATTTATTCTTTTTAATTTGTTTGTTTAGAAATAAAAAAAAATAGTAAACAACTAAATTGATTATTTTTTAAATAAAATAATTAAAATATTTATAAAATATAAGAATTTATTAATTGCAAGACTCCAGGGGTATTTGTGTCTTTTTATATCAAGTCAACCCTCAAATAGTTCCATAGGGGGGTTTTTGCTATTTAAATAATTTCACAGGGGAGGTTTTTGCTAGTTTATTTATCACAGGGGGGTTTTTGCTATTTCGAGATTACACAGGGGTAGTTTTTGCAGTTTACTCTTTTATTATATATATATATTCAGCATTCATTATTGGATAAATATTTTGGTGGGACTGGTTGTACACGTGGACAAAAAAGAAAAAAATATATGTAGTACACGTGGTCCAATGGCTACGTCACTGTGCAGTCAAGAAAAGAAAAAGGCAGAAATTGTTTCCCAATTTGCAATGGTCCCATAGCCTTCAGTTAAAGTCATTCAATTTTGGTCCATTCATATTATTATCTACATCTTGCTTATATATATAATAACGAAAAATAATAATTTAATATTAAAAAATAAATCATTTTACTTGCAATATAATGAAAAATTATTAACTTCATCATCTTAGTGATTAATACTTTAATTAAATGACTGTAGCCCATTGGGCCCAGCTGAGAGTGAAAAAGATGAAGCCTATGGAATATTATACCAATGTGGCTTTGACTTTGTTGACCTTCCACGTCAACTAATAATAATAATAATAATAATAATAATAATAATAATAAAATGCATGCATGTAGATGTAGAGATTGAGAAGGACCACGAAAATAACACCAAACCACTAAACAACAAGTGGACGATATACTCGTTCACGTATATTATTATTCCACAAATCAATTCCATTCCCCCACGATTTTTTGTTTTTTTGCATCAACAAAACGACAACCCACTACCAAAAGCATGAAAAAGTAGTATAATTAAATTAGTTATGTGATCTCTTGTATAACTAATTAATGTCCCATTATTGTCATGGAAAATACACAAATTGACCTAAAAATAATTGCACCAATTCTTTATTTTTGGGCTTTTATTTATGTTTTGTTTGAGATCCCTACTTAGATATTGAGTTAATTTAAAAGCAATTAGTTGGCCTAATAAACATGTGGAGTTGAAAATAGGATGACCGGATTCTCGACCCGCCCCAACCCTAAATTCCCAGGTATTATATTATCTGGCCTAAA